ACTCAGTAATGGCGTACGCTTCGGGCTCAGAAAGTCTAATAGGCCGTTGGTATGCATGCAGGACCCCAACGCACCTCCATCCATGTTTAGCAGCAGCAGGCCAATCACATCTCATGGCCGGGCAGAGGCACACAGTGTCCACGTCAGATTCTGGAGTAACGGACTTTCTCGACGCGCCTCTGTGTTTCAGACGCTGGCGGGCATGCGCTGCTCTGTCCCGCGGCCACCCACTAAGGACACAATTGCAGGACGCAGCCCTGGAGCCACCCGGGCGCCCTTTGTGTGCCCCTGAATTGTACAAAAGCAAAGCACCGCAGCCGTGCCATCGCAACCTCACTCGCCGTTGCACTTAACAGCCCACCTACAACCGTAGCCGACCGCGCAGATCGTGCCGTAACCTGTAACGTGCTTGTTCTGGCAGCCCGCCCAATTGAGCTAGTTCCCTCGTGTTCCTGGTGGCTCCCCATTTCTATCAAGCGAACCTCACCATTCATTCCCTCGCAAGCATCGCTCCATCGCTCATCGCTCTCTTGCTCCCGCCGCGACAACTAGCTGTATCCGCCTCCGCACGAGCTCGCATGCGTAATCGGCCCTCGTCCGCTTAATCCTATTACTTCTGTTCTCCAGGCACTCCGGTGATCTGTCTATTCCGCCCGCCTGCTGCTGTACAGCACCCGTACCATAATCGACACCCGCCCAGTCTCCGTCACTCCTTCGCGGCCTCCCTCGCCGTCGAGCTGCACCACCTCCGGACTGGATCCAACCCGTGTCGTCGTCTTCACTGTACACCAGGCTGCGCTGTGCTGAGCCCGGTCTTGCTGGCAATAATCCCTCGCCTCACATTCCTTTGGCCGGCACCAACCCTCCTTCGATCCCTTACCCTGGCTTTGGTAACCGAGTCACGACGACTATTCTTCCCTATTAGACTACCACGGTCACCGCAGGGTCTGTAATCCATAATGGCTCCCACCACCAACCGCCCCGAACACCACATCAACCTCAACTACATCCCCCAGCTGCCCCAGCCGCCGCACTCGGGCTCCTCGACGGGCAACACCTCGCCCGTTGAGCCTCCCAACAGCGGCTCTCTGCGCTTCGCTGGCAATGCCCCGAACCCGCTCGGCAACGCGAGGCTCGGGAACGGGTCTCCGTCGCATGACTATGGCGGCCGCCTATTTTCCAAACGGTATGTCGCACCCTGAAACAAGTTCCGACTCGTGCTAACACCCTGACAGTGCACGCGAGATTCAGGCACAGGAGGGCTTAACTCCGCAAATGTGGGGACCTCCTACCAGCGGGAATTCCACGCCGCTGCGCGAGACCATCCCCGAGTCCCCCAACAGCGAGAACTTGAGCTTCCCCGACTTCAACAACGCCGTGCCAGACACCATGTCAGCAGCACCTGCTCCCAACCGCCGCGCCCGCGCTGGCACCCTGCCCTCGCGCTTCTCCCCCTCCGCTGCCCCTCCCGGCCTCATGTCCGGCAGCTCGCTGCTCCCCAAGAGCTCCCGGCCAACACCCTCGACGAGCCCCTTCAAGCCTGGGCCAGGCACACCAACCGACAACTCGAGCTTCAACGCGCTTGGGTCTACAAACGCTGCGGCCAAGTCTGCACTGCTCTCACGTCTGCGTGCTGGCTCAATGCCTCAGCGACCGGGTGGCTACCTCCCTCCCTCCAACTCGCCGTTCGGCAACTCCATCTTCTCGGGCGGCTGGTCAAACCAGCGTGACCGCAGCAGCACACTCCAGAGCATTGCTTCTGTGCCGTCAAACGGACAGGGCTCGCCAAGGTCTTCATTCTCCCGCGACTCGCTTGCCGACACCGATGTCAAGACCCTGGACTACCTTGGTCTGGTCGACACCCCGCAGCCTGCACGAGCTACCCTGGCTCCGTCCGACATCGAGCTCCTCCTCGAGAGCCAGAGGAACGCCAACAACCAGAACTCCGGCGGTGCAAACCGCTTCCGCTCCTACTCCGTCAATGCCAAGGAGAAGTACGCCGAAGAGGAGGAGGATCAATATGGCGCATACAGCGGCACCATCACTCCTGCCGAAGCCAACGCCCTTCTCATCCACGAGGCTGTTCGCCAACACAACCTCGAAGTTCAGGCCTTTGCGAACCTTGCCTCAAACGCGCGCCCACGTGCTCGCACCGCCGGCGTGCTAGATGCTCCTTCGCGGGGCATGATGCGGCCCTACTTGCCCGCCATGGGCCGGTTTGACAATGGCATGGGAACCGGTGACTTGACTGAGGATGCAGAGTACAATCTTACTGAGGCTGTCAAGAAGCTACACTTGCCTGGCTCCAACCTCGGCGACGATGGAACTCTGGAAGGACCCACTCGCTCGCTGTGGCTCGGCAACATTCCATCTTCGACCACTGTTTCGTCGCTCCAAGTCATCTTCGCCCAGTACGGTGGAATTGAGTCTACCCGTGTCCTCACACACAAGAACTGCGGTTTCGTCAACTACGAGAATCTTGAGAGTGCCGTCCAGGCTAAGTCAACTTTGAACGGAAAGGAGATCTTTCCTGGTGCTGGCCCCGTCCGCATCGGTTACGCCAAGATTCCAAGCGCAGCGGCCACCCCCGGCCACAATGGTCTGTTCCCTTCACCAAGCCCTGATCCACTGTCAAAGGCTCAGGCTGAGGGCACAGCTGGCTCTGCCGCCACTACCAAGGTGGCCAACATCCCCGCGAATGTGCCTTTGACCACCCCAGAGCTCAGCGACATCCGCACCGACATTATCCAGATTGTGAAGGAGTTGGGCGCCACGGACGACGAGCAGACGAGGATCACCACCAAGGTCGAGAAGGCTGTTCAGTTCAATAACTACGTCGACGAGATCCCATCTGTCGAAGAGCCAAGCCACACTCGTATTCACGACGCCCCCAGACTGCGAGAGATCCGCAAGCGCATCGACAACGGATCCTGCTCCAAGGAGGACATTGAGAACATCGCCATGGCCATGCTCCCAGAAATCGCTGAGCTGTCTTCTGACTATCTTGGAAACACTGTCGTGCAGAAGCTGTTCGAGTTCTGCGAGGAGCCTACCAAGGAAGCCATGCTTCGCGAGATCGCCCCGCATCTGGCCAAGATTGGTGTGCACAAGAACGGAACATGGGCTGCGCAGAAGATCATCGATGTGTCCAAGTCGGAGACTATGCAGAAGATGGTCGTGGATGCTGTCCAACCTTATGCTATGGCTCTCTTCCTCGACCAATTCGGTAACTATGTCATGCAAGGCTGCCTCAAGTATCAGAAGTTCAACGACTTCATCTTTGAGGTCATGCTGGGTAGACTCTGGGATCTCGCCCAAGGTCGATTCGGTGCCCGTGCCATGCGAGCTTGCTTGGAGAGCCACTATGCCACCAAGGACCAGCAGCGCATGGTAGCTGCTGCAATCGCTCTTCACAGCGTGCAGCTCGCAACCAACGCGAACGGTGCCTTGCTCCTGACCTGGTTCCTCGATACCTGCACCTTCCCAAGGAGGCGTACGGTCTTGGCTCCCCGCCTAGTTCCGCACATTGTCCACCTCTGCACACACAAGGTTGCATACCTCACCGTCCTGAAGATCATCAACCAGCGCAACGAGCCAGAAGCTCGTGACACTATCCTACAGGCACTCTTCTTCTCTCCCAACGACCAGGTACTGGAAAGCATCTTGGCCGACCAGAACTGCGGTGCCACCTTGATCTTCAAGGTACTCACCACTCCATTCTTCGATGAGCAGATCCGTGCGGATGTAGTAACAAACGTTCGCAACGTTCTTCTTCGCATCAAGGCGCAGCCCCAACAGGGCTACAAGCGACTCATGGATGAGGTAGGTCTTTCCACTCGTGGCGGACCTGGTCATCGTGAGCACTCCGCAACCCGCCCAGCGTCGAAGGACAGCATTGCGTCTGGACCGCCAAACCCTGGGCAATTCTATCAGGGAGCGGCAGCTGGCTTCGACCCTGTCGCACTCCAGCGCACAGCAAGCATGGACTCCAATGGCTTCGAGCAATACCCAATGGGTGGTGGACCCATGTACATGCCAAACATGCAGGCCATGAACAACCAGCAGCAGATGCAGTACCAGCAGCTCCTGGCCCGACAGGGTCAGTTCTACCCTCAGATGAACGGCTTCCAGGGCCCCGTTCCGGGCATGGATGCCTACCGCAACGCGTCGCCTGTTGCAGGCCCCGGCAGCTTCAACGGATCACCGATGATGCAGCCCGCCAATCTCGCCGGTCAGGGCATGCCCGGCATGTACCCTCCCTATGGCATGTACATGCCACCCCAGCACCAGCAGGCGGCTGGGGGCAACCAGCGACGTGGCAGAGTAAGCAGAAATGCGTCCCCTGCTAACAGCGTTCGCCGTTAACGTCTCTTCAGAGATAAAAATCGCCTCGCCCGAGGGTTTAGATTCTCATCTCCTCTTAGAATTTATTGTGTTGCCAGGAAAAGCAGCACTATCTTCCTGTATATGATTCGGATCTTCACCTACAACGCATCTGCTAGCGAGCATTTTTTTGCAAAGCGGCATACCACCATACTTGCCATGTCTTCTCCTTTGCTGTCTTCGGACTCTTACGATTTTCATATCTTTTCTTCGCTCAATCGGCACATGGCTATCTGTCGGCCGACGATCGTCCTGTCTCGTCACTCGCTTAGCCACCTTGCTTGGGTGTTTCGGGGCGTACTCTTTTGGACCTTGTATGTCGTTTCGAAATGAAGAGGAGCTTACCTTTGTGGGCTCTTGTCGATCGATCGGATGATCACTGTATCGATATGAATGCGCATATGAGAGTCTGGTTGGAATGATATATGCGACTGGTGACGCCGCAAAAGTACCGTTACAATGGCATGATGTTTTGGATTTGGGAATCTTTGCACACCGATCTTCCTGTCTTCGTGGACTGCATGGTGGATGGAGGTGCGGGACCGGGCTCGAGCCTGCGAGCTAGATAGAATCGAGGCCTCTTTTAGTCTACCATCGCATCGTCGTCTTTGTGTGTTATGACAGTCGATGTGTGTTGTCATGTACCACCTAAAAGTGAGTCAATCAACGGTATCGTGACTCTTGCTTGCGCACGTACAACGTTCTGAGCAAGGTACCTATATGACTATATCGCTGGCTCATGCTTTATCGTGACATCGTTACAGTCACCTGGTAGTATTTAATCGCATACACGCCTTAACCTTTTCTCTATATCTTCAGGACATTCTATCCCACTACTACAAGTCACTCACACTCCCAATGGATCCTCCCGAAAGCAACAAGAATCTGCCTGCTGCAGAAACGGTGAAGGTCTGGCGTCTAAAACATCACTGGGAAGGGGGAATAGCATTCGGCTATACAAACTGCAAGGAGATGAGAGAACTTCACCAAAAGCTATTCCCGAAGTTCTACGAAGACGAGAACAAACTCGAGGACGATGACGAGTGGGACCCCATGGAGGTTGAAGATAAACCTAAACCTATGTTCAAATGGAAACGTCGCGACGGGACGGCCCAGGATCTTAAAAAACATTTCCCTGAGTATAAGTGGCCTGATGGAGACTTGTGGGGGACTCTGAGGTGTGAGTTTAGTCAGGAAGAATTGCTTCGGATAGGTGTGCTAAACTTCTTTTCAGTGCTCAAGAAGGTGAGGGAAGTGTACCTTCTATCCAAAGAGGGAGCAGCAGGAGCAGCAGATGCAGTATCGAAAGTGAGGGAAAAAAGTGAGGGAAAGAGGGAGGAGAACGAGAAGCTGGAGGATGACGCTGAGAGTGGTTCTCTACATGAACCTGATCATCTCTACTATGGCATTACTCGCTCTCTGACTCAGACGTCGACTCAGCGCAGTGAATAAGAGTCACTGTACTTACTTAAGATCTTGTAGTATCGAAGGATACCTCAAATCACCCTCGAACCTTTGTATACAACTTCACTCCACTCTGATAGTCCAATAGAGAATCTAGTTATACCAACCATGGAAGAACTCCTCGTCATAACATATCCCGCAACGCTTCCCAAGGAAGGCAACATTCCTGATGAGAAGAAAATTAAGGGCCTCACAAATCTATCAGCCCTTGAGGATTGGGTCAAGAAAGTGATGAAGGACGCGGGTATACCAGGATGGGAAGTTGAAAATATTGGCATGACTACCGTCGGCGCGGCTATCAAAGAGTACAATATCGAGGACGGAGGGCCTCTCGAATTTGTCGCAATTCCAGAGGGTCCAGAATGGTGCTCGGACGGGAATGGGCGATGGGCTACGGCTGGACGTACGTTGAGTTATGCAAAACCACACAAAAACCGTAGACTAACATACTGTTTAGTTATGGCAAGACTAAGTGGTTGCAGGGTCTATAGCGTATACTACGGTATCAAAACGAAAAATTCCGCCACCAGCGTCAAGACCACTACAGGCTACACCAATATATTTCACATCGCTCACATGTTCGATCGGGGGTTGTCGTCACCGCCCTTTTTATTTGCGGCATGCAAACACTATATCGCCCAAAACGAGAAAGAGCTCCAAGAAGCCAAAGACAGTGATGGAGGGGGTGTGCCTCTCCACACGGATCTTGCGAACGGGGATAGCGGAGACGGTAAATGGATTACCACAGGCTGTAAGTCATTGTTGCGAAATCTCAGAAGCATGCCAGGCTAATCACAATCTAGTTCAAGATGCATACCTCCGGTTCCTGGCCGAAAAGAAGACTGGAGACGAGAAGGAGAAATTGAAAATGGAAGTCAAAGCCAGATCTGTCGGGTTGGGCCCCGGATGGCTATCCATCAGAAAGTGGCCACGAATATGGGGGTTTGGAGCGTGATCTCGAGCCTAGACATCTGCCAATGGAGCAACGTCTTCCAGCTCGTGCAAATAGTTGTGCGATGAAATAAAAATACCGAGATCTGTCCCATCAGCTTTACGAACTTGCTGAAGTTTCTGTGACTGTTCAACCCCTGACTCCCGATAGATTGTGTCGTTACATTGCAAGTAAGAGTCATGAAGAAGAGTGTGACATGCCTACTCATCAATGCAAAGTTACTCCCCGTTTAGATATCGTACATTATTGTTATAGTCACCATCGCACCTGGGCAGTCACCACGCTGAAATTTGTCTTGACTCACCTGCTGAATCATATCCATAGATAGTCACTACTATAGACTCATACCTCATGCTGTCATTGTCGCAGTCAGCGTGCGAGCGCTTATATCTTGATGTATCTGCGCTCACAATTCAACACACTCTTCACAACACCATTACTTCGACCAAATCTGTTCGTATACATCCATGGATACCTCGATACCTGACTCGGTTATCGACTTGACGATAGAGCCAGAGCTCTATCTTGTCGTCTTTCCCACGGAGCTTCCTCCAGAGGGAGAATGCGATGAAGAGAACATCGACATCGGCTTCACTAATTCTCCCGCTATAGGGGAACTCATGGAGAGATCGACCAGAGACCCCAACCTACCAAGATGGGAATTTGTGGACCTGAGTCACCTGAGCAAAATCGCCAAGGAGCTGATATTGATCAAGCATAATATCAAAAAAGAAGACTGCGTGAAGGTGAAGGGGTGGGATAAGAAAAACTACGGCTTATGGATCACTCCTGGACGTACGTACAATTCTGAAGTATCATGCAGGAGTGACTGGGCTGATGCAGTGTTTAGTACTCTCCGCACTGGAACTCGCCAAAGTATACACCATACAATACGAATGGAATTCCAGCGAAAAATGCTTTGCAAAGACCGGCCACACAAACAAGCACGCTATTGCGGGCAAGATCAAAGCTGCCGAGCGCCTGGGTTGGAGTTGGAAAATAAATGCGACGGTTATCCTAGTGAAGAACCAGGAAGATCTTAGGAAGCTGCGGCATGAGGATGGGGGGCCTAAGCTGTTTGCGCCATGGGAATACGAGGGTGAGGAAGTCATAGGTTGGATCACAAATGGCGGTAAGTTCTATTTGCAACGTTACAAAGAGTGGCATGAATCGATGCTAAGCATTGATACAGTAAATCGTTCACGCCTCGCATGTCTTGAGCATGAGAGAAAGCGGCGGGAGGCACTGGAATCTTCGCGTCATAATCCTCCAATGTTTCCGTTGCGATAAGTGAAGGTACAGCTCGAGCTCCAGATCTCTACCGATGGACTTGTGATTTCTGGTTTCTACTTCCGGCCGTACGAGTCCAAATGGCATTTTATCTGGCTCTTTCAACTATGTATATCATAGAAATATCTTATCATATGCTTTAACCTCAGGCTCAGATGTGATTCACTGCAGCTAACGGTCACAGCCCGATATATCACTCCTACTCATTCTTCGACTCACCATGTTGGTACGGCGGCTCAAGAGTCATTGGCATGTGCAAGACTTCGTTGTATTCAAGAGTAACCTATACCATCACCAAACCTCGACGCAACGCTTCACTGCACCACACTGCATCTATTAGGTTACCATCACCTAAAACGACGATGCCGCACATCTGTTCAATGTTCTTTCCCGAATATCTTTCCATAGCAGGCGTCATCCTTAGCAACGGAAGGAGTGAGGGCATCACGAACCACGCATTCCTGAAAACACTTGTTGACGAACTCGTCGAAAAATCGGGCTTCCAGGGATTGAAAGCCGAAGACCTACGTAAAGTCACGAGAAAAGCGATTAAAAGGAAGAAAGAGGAATACGAAGACGAAGGCCCAGTAGAGATCCTCGACGAAGAGTGGAAGGCTGATAATAATGGTCGGTGGGCTACTCCTGGATGTGTGTAAAGTGACGCAAACCCAGAATGCACCTAGTGTATTAACGTGTCTAGTGATGAAAGTACTTCGTAGCTGCAGATACTACGAAATAACGTATCGGTTCCAACCTCGCACTGGCATGCCAGACGTTTACAAGACGGGCTACACGAGTAGTTATTCCATCGTCAAAGGAATTGAGCGCATGTTGAAGTTGCCCGGGCGGCCGTATTCGCGATTCGACAAATGCGACGTAAAGCTAGTTGCTAGCAAGCAGGATTTCAAGAAATATCAAGACAGTGATGGTAGATGCGAGCGCCTCTTCAAAAAGGGGGTAGATGGGGAGATAATTGACGACGGATGGATCACGAAAGGCTGTAAGTTATTCTTGGGTTGGTGAAGATTGTGCCGCAGAAGTTGTGCTAAATAACAGTCTAGTGTTTGCCGTATGTAAAGTGGCTGCGGAACTGATTCGCAAAAGAAAGGAGAAGAAGAAAGCACGCAAGTTGAGGCTACATCAAGGCCATTTGGTCAAGTGACTCAGCGGCGGATAGGGGACATCAGTGCGGTGAGCTCGAGTGTGAACTTCTACTAGTATGTACATATCATCTCAGCTGTATCCTTAGCTATGCAGTAGAGAGTGACACTAGACTTAATTCTAATATCTTGTGAAGCTCATCAGCTCTTACCGTGACTCCTTACCATTCGACTCATTGATCATATCACGGCTGGTAGTCACAGCTCAGGCTATGATAGATATATCCATAGTCACAGAGCTACTCATTATTCTGGTGTTGAGAGTCATCATCACATCATCCATCTGCAGTCACCGCGGTGACATTGGTCTTTTGGAACCTAGGTATTTAAACTCCTTCGAAAGGTCTACTGAACTCTTCACAACACCCAATATTTCGCTACCTATCTAGACGAGCTTCTATTCACCCACGATGGCTAGACCTATCTACAAGATAACCTATACGATAGGTTATACGGAGTCCTTTTACCTCCAAGACCGCATCGAAGATCTGGCAAAAACCCCGATCTGCAAAGGATGGGAAGTAGAAGACATTAGCGACAATAAAAGAGAACGGAAGAAGCTAGACCAGAACCCACACGACTTAACTAGATATATCGATAAAGCGTGGGGCTTGACGAAGAAGCGATGGGCCACTCCCGGACGTGAGTATCATTCTGCGCATCAATACAAGGCTTAGTGACATAACAATTCATGCAGTAATGTCAAAACTTGACGGACTCTGGCTATTGATCGACATGCACAACGTCCATAAGATCACCTTTTGGGACATGAGTACCAAAACGTCAAAGGATGGCTACACAAACAGCGACGATCATATCAAAATGGCCAAACTCATCATTAAGAAGCTATCCCCGAAATCATGGACATGCGTTCCATGGCCCGTCAGAGACGAGGAGCATCTGAAGGAACTCCGAGAAGATATCGACGGCGGATATGAACGTCATATTCGAATAGATAGACGCTGGCCCGATGACAACGGCAAGACTGCGTGGCGAAAAAATCCGGATGACAGCAGTGATGATGACGAAGACTATGAAGGTGGGGACGACGGATGGTGTACGACAGAGCGTAAGTGTTATGCAAGTGTCAAGGGAATTAAAGAAGATACTAATAACGTCTATAGTACATCTTGCCTACAAACCGTTTGCGCTTGAAGCTATAAAGGCCTTCAATCCAGATGAGGACGAGGACGAGGATGGGAGGTCTCTGGTATATTAGTTGAAGTTATGAGAGGGTGGCAGAGCAAGGACTAGCTTATAGTGAAGTTGTTTCTAATGCTAGTCTTCTGCATGAACATCCCGGTTACCCATTAGTCTTTGCGCCTAGCCCCAGATTTACTCGTCGTGCGGCCACTACACCTGGGCATCTAGTCATGTGGCACGAAGAGTGGTAACGACATCTTTCTTCATTCTTATCGGAGACACAAGGACTCTGAGCCCTGATGGGAGACGTCCATGCCATTATTGCTGGAGGTGTGCGCGCTCGCGATATAGCCAACCTTGGAAGTCAGAGGCTTCCTAAGAAATGGTAACTGTGGCAAGAGCATTCATCTACTCAACATTTATGCGTAATGAGCAACCAGTCACTTCTTGACTCATTTGCTCTGAGCCACAAGGTGACACTGCGCAGAGTTATAAAGCCAGAAGCCTTGCAGTCTCTCCAATCGTTGTTCCCTCTTACATACCACACGCATATCTAGTACATCATCCTCTTTCTACGCCTCTTTCGAAGCAGCACTCTCACTCGCAGAAATGAGCAAAAAGTACACCGTACACTATCCCGACACAACAGACCCTGATAATAAGCTCGGGAAGTTCTCAATAGGCCATACGAACAATAAAGAAGTTGTCGACGAAATCCCGAATATCTGCGCAAAGCTAGGAGACCAACGCTGGCGTTATTGTACCAACCCCGATCCCAACGGTCCAAGTGAGGCGGACATCAAGGCTGACGGAGGCCTTATATACCATACCAATAAGGTCAAGGTAGACTACAAGAAGTATATAAGGAGGAGGAGGAAACTTGGGTTCCGCAAATACGGCCGCGGAATTCTTAACAACCACGAAGGAAACGACGACGAAGTATGGACCACAAACAACTGTGAGTTGCCCTTGCAGTGTTAAAGATCCGCTCGTTTTACTAATAGTCAACGCAGTATACGCTGCCTGGGTACACAGTATGGAAAGAGCCCACAAAATCCACATGAAAGAAGTGGAAGAAGAAGTAGCGCGAAAGGGTCATTATTGGAACAGAGGGATCAAGGTGCTCTATGAACCGAGCAGGCAGCTTGGTGAGGCAAGCGAAAGTCCAGCAAAGACAGAACTGCCTTAACTAAATCTTCTTTCTACATACCAGAACTTTGAATGACTGCATACGTTATTAATACATCTTCACACCCGACCATAAGGTTGACTCTTTGTGTAACCATCATGACTTCGTATGGAGTCATAACAACACGACTTCGAATGACTGACACCAACATGTATCTAACTTTGGAAGTATGTACTGTTTCTAACCACTGCCCGAATACAACACCCAAACTTCTACAATGACATACCTGACAAGCTATCTCCGACTAAATACTTTCTACGTTTATGAACCTTGACAGCACTTCCCCATCTTCCCATCAAAAGATGACAATCACCACCACCGCGATTTTCCAAGTCATACATCCCCTTGGCATAGACTTTACATCTTCCTCGGAAGTCGCCCATAGCATTGGCAAAGCAACAAAGTACAACTGGCTCATCACACGATACGAATATCCCGACAACGAAGAGGGCAAGACGTTCATCAAATATCTGACAGCGAATCGAGGCAACAATCTGAAAAAGGTCCTGAAGGACTGGCAAAGAAGATTGCTGCAATCAGAAGTGACAAGGGGCGCTGGAGTGCACTAGGGTAGAGAGTGGATGACCCGTAACTATACGTATATTCAGTAGGCTCGATGATGTACTTAGGTTGCTGATGGAAAGGATAGTGTATGTGATCTTCAAAGGGGCCAGGGAGAGTAAGGAGGGTAGCGATGAGTGTTTGAAGCATATGCTGGATGTGTTTATGGGCAAGCAAAAATAAAAGATGGAGGTGATTACACGTAGTGGGGCGAGACATCATGATATCGAATACCTTTTCAGAAAGCCTGAAGTCAGACTATAGCAAAAGACACTGTACTGGGAACAACAAAACTTCAATTTTGGCCGCCCCATATAGACGGAGCGTGGGTATCATGAACTTCCTGAACGCGCTGTAACTCCCTGACAAATACAATTACATCTTAAACGTTGAAAAACATTGCTGATAACAAATCCCGGAGGTCTTCATCGCGTGAAAACCCAACCACTCAGTGACCGTTAAGACCGTCGCTGAATTTCCGCTTTTTAGCCTCGCGCTCACCATCTTGAGGCGGGCGATATTGGTCCAGCTTGCCCTGCAAACGATACGTTTCGCGTTTAATGTTCTCCGCGTTGGCCAAAAGGTCCATCTCAGTAACCGGAGCTTCAATACTAGCCAGCACGCTCCTAACAGTGCTGATATGATTGGCATCCTTCTTATCGTCGCGCCAGCGCGGCGTACCGTCCGCCTCAGCCTTGTATTTCCACTGTCCACCTTCTGTGCGGTAACATTCTATGATACGGCCGTCGAGGCGTTGGTTCAGGGATTTGAGCGTCTCCCATTCGGATGGGGTGACGGAGAGGGTGGCGAAGACCTCGTAGTGGTTCTGGTTGTGCTGCACGAGCAGCTGTAGGGGGGTGGGCATGGCGTCGTAGTCGGGGATGAGGCCGTCTTCGCCGTCTTGCGGGTCTATGAGCGGGAAGTCGCCGAGGCGGAGCTTGAAGTCAATGGTGTTCTCGTGCGGTGGCTTCCACTTGAGGATGTGTCTATCGGTACCGAATTGGTAGGGTGTGGATACGCAGGTGAAGATCAGGCCGTCGTTGCCGTGTCGGAGGTTGGGGAGGATGCTGCTGAACATGTCCTCGAGCTTGTATGCAGGGTAGGTCTTCTTTCCTTTGAGAGCAAACGGCTTCAGGTCGTCTGGTGTAATGTTCTTGCCAAATGTCCTGGTCAAGCCGGCTTCGTACGGCTTGATGACCCATTCATGCAGCCGGCCCAACCGCTTGTCCAGTGTCCTTTGCGTCACATTTGTATTATCCACCGCCAAGCAATCGAAGACATAAAAGTTGAGACGTGGCGCAGGCTCGTTTGGATATTGGTCATGGACCAGCTCGCCGTCCAGAAGGGTTCCGAATAAGAATGGCTCGGCTTCGTTCAGGTGCTGGTAGTGACGTATGCGAAATGGAGGCTGGACGTTGTAGTAGTTGTTCTTCCTGTCGATCAGGAAAGTCACAGGCTCGAAAGCTCCGGTCGGTCCCTCTTGCCAGTGCAGGTAGAGCAGGCAGCGCAAGCCGTCCGTCTTCTCGCACATGTAGTATTCATTGCGTTGGAGCTCGGTGACGTGTTCGCGCGAAAAGGATACGGGTTGCGCGCCGGGAAAGCGCGGATTGTCGCGTTCGAGGAGTTCGGCGACAGATTGCTTGAGTGAATGCGCCTCGTCATTTGGGATCTGGAAGCCTGGAATCTGCGGCGGCGCGTGCGATGGTAGCGTGGCGGCCGGCATATTGGGAAGATACTGGAGGTATTCGAGGCTCCGTAAGAGTTGGGACGTCGAGCGCGATCAATTTCGTATGCGGGAGCGGCTGCAGGAGGGTTGGTTCTCGTCCGCAGTCGCAACAGTAGTTGTACAAGCGATGGATCGACCGGGCGAGCTTACGCGCTAGTGAAGGGTCTGCTTATGTAATCGCTGGCTACGGCTGCCTAGGCACGGCTGTGGCATGGCCCATCATGCTTCTGACCTCGCCTAAGATTCAGGGAAGCCTTGATGTATCCGCACTACAGTTCCCACCATGCCGATTGTCTTTTGTCGCATCAATTCCGTTAAACGTCATTCTACCAGCGTACCGACTGCCCGATATAATCTATTGCAACCATGGTACTACGACCACGCACAACGCCGCGCCTATAAGCCATTACCAAGCATATGACACCAACATAGAAACTGAAAACTCAGAGGCATAAATTCCTTTGCTCTTGCCGAGACTTCTCTCCCTGTTCAACAGAATCATCACCACAATTCTCACATCCAGTTACTGCCAGACTCCATACATACGATGAGCGACTTACCCACTGAGATATGGGCCATGGTTTTCGCATATTCCGACGATACCGAACACCTCTGGCTTGCCTGCCGTCATGTCTCCAGCAATCTGAAGGCTGCCGTCGAAATTTACATCAGCACCATCTTCCTCCCAAATTTCCTCACGGTATCCCTCGAATATCAGAGAAAAAACAAATCGACCATATCCTGCAGTCGCGGTCTTTTCAAAGGATACTCCCCAGACAAAACCCTTGCTTACTTCGATATGAGCCGTAACGACCGGCCATTCATTCAGTACATTGACACGCAGCGAATGTGTCTCTACGTCGACAAACTACAAAGGGGATGGACAAACAAGGGGTTTGAAGTGCTGGCGAAATTGAAAGGGCCAGATCACGACCGTGCGATCTTTGTCAGACTTTTGGATGGCGTCACTGCTAGCCCTGCGGATAGTAACGAGGGAGTTCTCACCTTTGGGCTCGACTTGGAAGATAGGATCTTGTCCTTTGACTGGCGAGAGGTCATGACCAAGAGCTTCATGGATAGTACTGATTGCGGGGGATATCTTATCGACCACCTGGCGTGGCGCGGTCGTGATAACAGGTTTCCCTGGTGGTGTTAGTGGTGGTTTTGGGCTGCTCTTTCGAAAATGAACTTGGGAATATCTGAGGGATGAAAAGGAAGAAACACATCAGATGTGTTGCTAAGGATAGGCTCTACCGCGATTGCACATATCGATCGGAGAGTATTTCAGAGTTGTATAAGAGGTTTTGTTGGCACTGAACACCAATCAAAGGGTATGTGGTCTAATGGTCAAGGCGCCCACTCTTTCGAGGGTGTCGTCGGGCTAATGAGCTCGACGGTTCATGGAGATACGGGTTCGAGTCTCGTCATATCCAGCTACGTTTTGCTACTTGAATCGTTCTTTGTCTGGTCTATTGGAGATGGACTTAGAGATGTCTCGCGAGGGACAACAAAGAACAGTCATGACGGATGCGACAAAGAAGCACTACGAGGACTGTACATCGCGATTCAGGACATCTTCACGGTATTTAATAGGTATTATCCGTGTTGAATGTTAGTCAAAGGGTACATGGTCTAATGGCAAAGGCGCCCACTCTTACGCAAGTGAGAGTGACGCTGGACCTAGCAGGTAACTGTTAGCATCCTAGCGGAGAGGAGATGCGGGTTCGAGTCTCGCTGTATCCACTTACATTTTGCTGCTTGTATTATTTTTGTTTTTATAGTTTTCTGACGACTAGAGACTGCTGTACTTTAGCTATCTTACCAAACAGAACAAAGGGTTACACAGACTACTTTAAGCTCCTGCAGCTATATGTGCTGGGGTGGGCTGAGTTTTATCAGGAGGTAGACGTTGGTGGACGCGACCATACCGAGCTCGCTTTTCACTAGAACGCCAGGCCTCATGTTTGGAAAGAGCGCCTTGGTATCCAAGCTTTCACTCGATTTAACGCCACTTTCTCGTAACATGGAAGGTCTGCGCTTTTTTCGAAAGGGCAGATTGCGTGTTCTAGTACAGGCTTTCAAGTTTTCGAAGAGCGACCCATGCATAACTCCACCGAAACCGCCATGTTGTTGCCAACCCTTTTTCTCTTTCTGGCATTCGTCACCGCTTGTCCACCGCCTCTTAACAACTTCAAATATGTAGCCAATGATACCCACACAACATCACAGATGATCTCAAGTCTACTCCTATCCAGAGACGAATCTTCTTCACTAAGTCGCAGATGGACTGAGATCGTAACTATGGTATGCTCATCCGTACGCTCCAACGCATGACGTCCAACTGACCGTTCAGCTAGACCGGACAACCTCGTACGGTGTGGCCCGACGGACTGGTCCGATACTGTTTCGAAGACGAGAGCGCCCGTAACAACTTCAAGAACGACATCGACGCAGCCTGGAAACTTTGGGTAGACAAGATTGGGGAACCTGGTTGCCCAAGCGGTCACATACTTCAGTTCAGGGAGTACAGAGTCAAGGAAGGCGTGTGGCCATACTGCTACAACAAACGCGAAAAGGATGATGACCCCTGGGTCTGGAACAAGCACGTCAAAGACGACATTGCCGTTATCGCGGAATCTAAAGACACCGAGACGCAGGCTTCTTCGGTCACAGGCTACATACCAAAAGACTGGAGCGACGAGCAAGGTCGGCACGGCATCCATCTCGGTCTCGCCTTCAAGCAAAAGTATCCACTCGATTACTGGATCACAACTGTGGCCCACGAACTAGGCCACCTATTCGGATTCTGGCACGAGCACCAGCGCGAAGACCGCAGCGACTACGTTCACTTCGACTGCTCCAAACTGCGGGGTTATGCGGCTGCGAAAGCGAAAGTTGATGCGGCGAAAGAACATACCATGGAACAAGTCTGCGCCGACTACCGTCTAGCTCTCCAATACGACTTCCCCGCTGTCCAAGACTACGACACCATTGACCATATCGCGCCTCTCCGCGAGGGAGGGATTGAGTTACCATTGTACATCAACAGTGACATAGAGTTTGACGATGAGTCTATCATGTTGTATACCTCTTCGGAGTTCGCCAACGATGGCGCGAATACAGACGACGTCCTACAAGTCCCATTAACCTTCTGGAAACACCGCGGTATAGGTTTCGATCCACCAAACCCAATCACAAAAGAAGACCTAGAAATCATCGACGTGCGATGGAAAGTCAGTGACGGAGATGCAGACGGCGTTCGTCATCTCTATCCCTACGTGG